AGGGAAAGAGAAATGTAAACCAAAGCCCTCCAAAAGGTTCTTACTTCATTTCACAGTTTTCTCTTAAAAGGGGTTTACCTGATTGAGATATCTCTAAGCTTTATAACATTTGAGAAACTTAGTCATTTCTTAAAATGACTTCAAGAAGAACGTTTAAGGAACTTATTCTTCTTCCAATGTATGGATTCACTTATCGCTGTCAAGGCCAGCACTATATTATGGAAGAGTTTGCCTAACTAGGATAAAGAAATCTTTTCAAGAACTTTGTTTGACTGGAATAGAAACTTGGAGACCTCAGCTTTTGTTCAAAAAAGCCTTTTTGCCACTTGAAAAACTTAATAAGAGATGGAAATTGAATCTTCTTTTCATATCCGTTGATTATCTTTCAGTATCATAATTGTTTCCTAAATGTTAAATATATACAATTGGAGAGGACACTTTTTCTAGAACTTTCTTTTCTATATCACCAATGATTTATCGAGACACATAAGTGTATTAATAGGAGTTTGTTTATATTCCAAAAACTGACGTGTTTCATGTTAGCCAATCACCGTTGGTAAGGATTTGTGCTACCAAAAATTCAGGATCAAACTGATGTAGGCAAAATTCCTTAGAAAACCATGAAAGCAATAGCTCTAAGAGGCCCACAAGTGACTGGAAGGGGAAAAATAAGCTCTTTTATCATTAAAAACCTCTATATACCTCTCGCTTTAAAGATTAAATAGGCCTTAAAGTACTTTATAGTTAGTTTTTCTTCCTTTGGAAACTTTCTTGCCGTTAGCATCAAAGGTATTGCTTGACTTTTCTTAATTACTAGAAGTCAAGTTTTTGAGTGAAGAGGTTTGTAAACAATAGGGGAAGGGTAGAAGTGACTCTTGAAGTCATATTTCAAGTTGTTTTAAAGAAAATATTAAGATTTTATTAGTAAAAAAGTATTAATGACTTCTTATGAACATCTTTTTTGTATATAGTCAGAGGATCAGCAGAAAGAATTTAGCATTTATATAAATTAATATTATTATAATAATATTTTTAAAATTTTATATTTTTTATCTTTATTAACTTAAATATTATTATTAGTAAAAGTTTTTATTTAGAAATTATATATAATAAAATAATTATAAAATGTAATTTAATATTTTTTATAATTTTAATTAATATTTTATATATAATATAAAAATTAATCATCGGGTATTCCTTCCACTGATCCTCTGATCACATACAAAAAAGATGTTCACAAGAAGTTTTTACATTTCCTTACTAATAAAGTCTTAACACTTTCCTTAAAACAACTTGAAATATGACTTCAAGAGTCATTTCTATCCTTTTCCTATTGTCTACAAACCTTTTCACTCAAAATCTTGACTTCTAGTGATTAAGAAAAGTCAAGTAGTTCCTTTGATATCAATGGCAAGAAAGTTTCCAAAGGAAAAAGAACTGACTATGAAGTATCTGAAAGTCTTTCTAACCTTTGAAGTGAGAGGTTTATAGAGGTTTTCTGCAGTAAAAAGGCTTATTTTCCTTCTTTTTGACTATTTTAATCCTCTTAGAGCTTCCATGTTTATGGTTTTCTGAGAAATTTTGCCTACCTCAATTTGATCCTGAATTTTGGATAGCACAAATCCTCATCAAAGGTGATTGATTAACACAAAACATGTTAGTTTTTGGAATGTAAACAAGCTCCTATTGGTTACACGCATGTGTCTCGATACATCACTAGTAATATAAAAAAGAAAGTTCTAGAAAAGGTGTCCCCTCTAATTGTATATATTCAACCTTCAGGAAACAATTATAATATCAAAAGGTAAGTAATAGATAGGAATAGAAAATCCAACTTCCATCTCTCATTAAGTTTCTCAGGTGGTAAAAAGACTTTCTTGAACAAAAACTGGGATTTTCAAGCTTCTATCCCAGTCAGACAAAGTTTTTGAAATGATTTCTTTATTCCAGTCAGGTAAACTTTTCCATAATATGGTGCTGACTTCACTAGTAATAAGTGAATCCATATATTTGTAGAAGAATAAGTTCCTTAAATGTTCTTCTTAAAGTCACTTTCAGGAATAGCCAAGTTTCTCAAACATCATGAATCTTAGAGAATATTCCAATTAAACAAATTCTTTTTGAGAGGAAACTATGAAATGGAGCAAGAACCTTTTGGAGGGCTTTGAATTGTATTCCCCCTTTTTTTTTTTCCAGTGTCAACATTAGCAATTCATCATTTTTCAGGATAATCTACAGTGACAAACTGTTGGCAATAACTCTGGTTGACTTAGAGGTACTATTGCCAAACTACTAGGAGAGTAAAAAATATTGTCTCCTAAATCTGACTTAGAGTATCTAGTTTAGACTTAGTTTTGTTTGGTCTGAACTAGCTTAGTGGACTCCTTATATTTTTTAAGTAGTATAATTTTTTAATTAATAATATATAATGATGAGTTAGTCACTTTGTAAAAGTCTATAAAATATTTAGGTATTTCTTAATATCTCAATAAAGACATGCTATTGTGATATGATTGTGGATTAAAAAATAAAAATAAAAATAAAAATTAATCATTGAATTTCTAGAAATATCAAATTATATTAGAGTTTTATTAAAAGTAACAATAAAATTTTTTCAATATTTTTATTTTTTCATATAAATATTGAAAAAAATTTTTTAATAATAAATGATATAGTCTTAATATTATATATAAATATATTGTATTAAATTATATTAATGTTTAAATTGTTTAATCCAATTATATAAACTTTAAAATTATTAAGAATCAATAATTTACCTAATTATTAGTTTTTTTATTTTAATTATAAATATTGTAGCTATATTTTCTTTTTTTTTGTATATTTTTAATAAACTTTATTAATTTTTTTTAACTTAAATATTGCTTTTTGATTGAAAACTTTTTCTACTAATCAATTTTATCACTAATTTCAAAGTAATATTCATCAGAAGTTTTATACTTCTGTACTAATAAAGTTACTACACTATCACTAAATACACTTTGTAAATATACTAAAAAGTACCACCTACTCAGTTTTATCTTTTCCTCATCTTTCTAGTTGGCTTGAATGTCAGTTTCAAGTCAAAAGTGAATGAGATAAAATTTGAACTCCTAATGGCAAGAAAGGATACTTAAAAAGAAAACTTTTAGTTAAAAACTTTTCTTTAAAACTCTATAATAGGATAGGCAAATCTATAGGAAAAGTATTTATCAAAGACTATATAATATACAGTAGTCTTGTTCTTTAGGAAATTCACTAGATCCCAAGCTTTCTGAAGTGTGTAAATAGATTTTTAGTTTTTTAGGAAAATTTTTCTTATCCCTCTAATCTTGAATTTTTGGTTTATATTAGATCTGTAGAAATTTTATTGGTTAGAGTTTTGAAGTTGGATAATGTTATTAGTAACAAAAAATAAATAAAATATACAATACAAGTGTTTTATATATTCTTTTTCATACTATCACCATTGTAAATAGGTGTTGCTCTCACTGCAATTATTAACTTAATTCAGTATAAGTATTTTAAAAACTGTATATACTTAGACCTATTTATTGAAACTGCATTCTTTAACAAAATTAAAAAATAAAGTGTTTATTCAATTGTAGTAAAGATTATAAGACATTTCAATTATTTTTAGTATTGAAGTTACCTATTCTTAATAGTCAAGTAGGTTTTAATAGCTCTTATAGATAAGTAAAGATCTGTTTTATTTTTATAAAAAACAAATAAGATAAATAGGAGGTTTTTTCTAGCTGATGAGCTTTTTATTTTTGATCTATAGTTTGTAGATAAATCACAAACTAAAGATCAATATCAAGACTTTCAATATGACTTTCTTTCAAGTATGGTTATTTTGATCATCGGGTGGTACCTATCAATCTTATTTTTAGTAAAAGTACTTATTGGAAACTATTGCCAAATTGAAAGATTTCCTAAAGACTTAGTCTGACTTTGGAAGAGTTGTGCCTTTTTAAATAAGCAGCTTATACTTGAAACTAGTATTATCTTTAGAATTGGATCATTAATCTTTCACAGGTTTTATGATACCCTCCTGACTATAAGTTTCATCTGATCTTTGGATGAGTAATTTCTTAGACAAACTTCCAAATAAGATAATATCAATAAAATTGGCTTCTAAAACTATCTGAAAAGAAGAAAAATTAAAAGAAGTTTTCTTCTCTCCCTTTTAAAGATGAGAAATATAGTACTTTGATGAATAATCCGTAGGTATTGACTTCTTCTTAGTATTAATCCTAATAGATGGTCAGTAATAGAGAAAATTTGGGTTTTTATCTGACAGTGCTTTAATATTTTTTTTTTTATATTTTTAGTATTAGTTTAAAAGTAATTTTAGATTAATCTCCCCTGATTTGAAACAGTAAAATACAATTTGGTAAACTGTTAAGTTTTAAGAAGTTTAATAACATTCTTAATAGTTATAATAACTTCAATGTATTTTAAATTTTATTTTTTTATTATTACTAATAAACATATATAGCTGAGCTAATATTTAAAATATATATATATATATATATATATTGCTTTTTAATTATATTTATTAAGTATATGCATATAATCTAAATTTAAATTTAGATTATTTTTAATAGCTTTAAGTTCAAATTTTTGTTTTTTTTTTCATTCTCGAATATGTTTTTTATCTATTTTATAATATATTAATGCATTGTAAATGTATATGCTTTTAGCATATAATATTATTTCAAGTTTAAAAAATACTGCATAGCTTTATTTTTTACTAAAATTGGTATTCATAATTATATAGTATAAGAAATAAAAAAAATAATATGATAAATTTTATACAATTATAGAGCTACAGATATTTACGAACGTGTAAATTAATTTAATAAATAAATAAAACAAACTTTTTTTATATTAAAAGTTTTTTTATAATAATAACCACATGACTAAACGTACTATACTGTATATGATCAAATCACATGCTCTATTTATTTAAAAAGCAAAATCGAACATTTCTCATAATTATGGATAATTTCCTATCATCACTAAAAGAAATTTCGATAAAAACTGAAGATGAGAATTTTGTTGATAAGTTTTCACAACTTTCAACTAACGAAAACAAGTCTGTTACGATATCAAAGTTAAAAATTATACGCAACCATTTCAAAACAATAATCCACCCAATATAAGTGACCTACAGCATTATCAATATCAAAGTCTTGAAAATTGGGTTGAACAAAAGTGGCAAAATAAGTGGAACAATATTGATAGTTGGCAAAACTCAACTACACAAAGCCAATCGAATAATGACGAAGGGTGGGGTTCAGTTAACACCGGGATTAATGAATTTCATAGATTTGGGTTTACTTCTTCATTGAGTTCAGAACACCTCAAAATGGGGCGTATCAACATTGAACAACCAGACCGAATGTTTGGGACGAGAGAAGGTTGAGAGCTTCGATTTTGAGAATATTCTGCGACAAAATCAAGAGAATAAATAAGAACCGACTTTTTTCGGAGCTTTTGTAGTATATTTTACTTGAAAGAAACCGAATTCGATCTTTCAGAAACATTGAAAATAAAAAAGCCATCACTAAGTCTATAAAAAATGTATAATTATTAGGGCAAATAAAAAAAAGCTTCTTCCTTTCCAATTGAGTATGTTGTTAATTTTATTTAATTGAACTCTATTAAAGTTTTACTGCTTACTTTTACCTATCTTTATACTTAATTTGATCTGCCGTTCAGGCTGATTAGATCAATTAACCGGAAAACGTAAATCACACCATGCCTACTAGCTTATATATAGAATCTAAATTGTAATGTCGTTTGTTAATTATATTGAGTTATTGAAATTATTAGAGGAAAGAATATAGGAACGTAAAAGAAATTAAAAGCCGGTAATATTTTTATGACGCCGAAAAAAAACCCCCAAAAAATTTTTTGATCCAAGTTTCACTATCTCATTACACTCTACCATTGAGTTTACTAAATTTGAAATAGTTTTCAATGTGATGTATTTCAAAAGCTGCTTTGAAATTGGTTTCTATTTCAGAAATCTATCTTAATTTAATGGTTTTAACAAATTAAAGTTAAAATTAAAGCAGATATTTTATCAAAAATTTTTATTTGCAAGTATTTTATAATTGAATTGTCAATTGTAAAATTTTTAATTAAGAAATTCAATTAATATTGCTAATAATTTTTTATTATTAGATATTATTTCAGGACAATTATTTAATTATGAATAAACAAATAAATAATTTTAAAATAAATTTTAATAGATTTGTCATTTAATATTAAATAAAAAAATATCATAGTATATTATATCATTTTTTATTTTAAATCACAATCAATATTACATGTAATTTCTTTATTAAATAGCTAAAATTTTTTAACATAATACCAATTAGCATATTATATATTTCTATATTTACAGATATAGATTGATAATAATCTATTATAATTTGTCTTAAATAAATCTATTATTATTTAGAAAGTAAATAAACTTAGTTAAAAACTAAATGATTAATATATAGTTATTAACAATAAAATTAACTAGTTTATATTAAGTTACAAAATTTTTTATTTTTATTAATTTAATTCTATTTTATATATACATAATAAAAAATAATCAATCTTTAATATTTTTAACTGTTTATTCAATACAAAGGCACAAAAAACCATTAGGATTCCAGTTGTAGCAAGTTATACATCTATCTTTCAACATTCCACTTCAAATTAAAATCTTTAGTATAGATCAAGAGTATCACTTAAATTAATTCACATTGTATTAAATCAAATGCATATAACTTAGCAAGTTTACCAATAGCCTTCAACAATAAATATCTCTCATAATACAATATTCTCACAGATTGCAATACATTTTACTGATAGCCAAGACAGAATCTTTGATCTTATTATCATATTTAAAAGGATAGTTACATATTCATACTTTGAAATCTACATAGATGGTTCTCTTAGTAAATGGAACAAAAAATTATATATGGAACTAGGCTAGATTATTATCACTTCAAATAATAAAGAACACATATTCAAAGTCAAAATTCATATACACCTTTTATCCTCAAAAATAGAAATTATAGTCATAACAACTGCAATATTAATCCTACCAGAAAATTTAACAGTCAATATTTTATAAACAATCAAACAATGATCAGTTGCATCCAATAAATCTTAAAAGATTCAACTTCTTACCTTATTAAAAAACAAAAAAATTTCATATACTTCAGACTATAAAGAACATTCATACTACAAGATATCTCAAATTGCAGCTATATAAAGTTCAAGTCCACTCAATATCAAACACAATGAACAGGTAGATTAACTGATCTCAATAGGACCAGGTTCACAAAAAATATACCTGGACATCAATATTCTCAATATACAATCTACTCAAAACTCACAAACATATATAACAACACAGTAAAATAGCATTCAAATTGATATACCAATAAAAAACATTTGTAAAAAGATCATTTAAACAAAATATATTGTACAATAATATTTACTTAACAGAATACTTACAAATTTTACTAGACAATACAAACACATCTACTGACAAGAAACATATAACCATCTATATTCATCTCAAATTAACAATTTAAATATCTTATTTAAAGATCAACAAATTTGAAAGTTCTTACTAAACCTCTGAAATAATAAACTTCTCATCAAAACTAAATTATACAGTAAAAAACTATCATTATATAAAGATAACAAATACTACAATTGTAACCAAATAAAAGACAACTACTATTTTTTCTTATATCAATACAATAAAATAGATATCAAATATCAAGTTATAATAATAATCCAAGAAGCGATACTCAAGTACATATCCAAAAAAAAAAAAGATTTAAGCACTAACTACAATAAATAATAATATAACTTTAAATACTATACAATAGTTCAAGTTATTTATTAAAGGAGCCTTTTTCAAATTTACTATTAAAACAATTTACCAAACAATTGATAACATTATTAAAACAAAAGACTGTATATCCAAAATATCAATAGAATAGAAAAAATTCTTATGCTCAACTTGAAAAGTCAGAAATAAAACATTTCAAAGGTGAAAAGAAAAATATGACATCTCAAAAAAAAAAAGAAAGACAACATAAATACAAAAAAGCATCTTCAAATCTAGCCAGATGGATAAATAAATAATTCATCAAAGATAGCTATATAAACTTAATTAATCAATATATAAAACAATTTATCCTTGAAAATATCAATATCATATTTATTTTTTCTTTTGAATCTAGTGCTAACTTTGCCTTGACAAGTTAGTTCTTCCTTAATCTGAAGTAGCAACAAGCTATCCAATGGATTCTTTAAAATATCTAACTAGTTCTAAGAAGTTTAATAGTATATATGATATTCTTCATAATCTCTACAATATATAGTTGCATATTACTTTATTAAGCTAATAAACAAGATTGAGCCAGCTTTAAAAAAAAAATAAAATAAAATAAAATAAATAAATAATATTAACTAACTACTATAAAATAAATTAAAGACTTATTCAAAAAAATATTTTTTTTTTAAAATCAAAAAAGTAGGACTAATAATATTAATAAGTTCAATAACTATATAAATCTTCTTATAAAATAAATTACTGCAGATATTAATTCTTTTTTTTTTTAAAAAAAATTTGCTGGCTTAGTTTTGCTTTATTTGAATTTAGTAAAAAGTTATATCTGTTTATATTACGATCACTTTGTTTATCAAATAAATCTCAATAAAAAAATCTATCTTGTGACTTGTTACCATCTATTAAGGGAATTAACTTGCCAAGGTTAGGCTAGTACTATACAAAATTTCTAATAAATAGTAAGAAGTTGTGATCAATTGAATACTATATTTATTGACTATGCTAATAAATTGTTCTTTTATATATTTTTCTCTTTCTTCTATCTATGGATCTAATAGTATAGTATTATATTTATGAAACTTCTCTATAGCTTTTGTGATGTCTTGTTATTTTTTCCAGTTTTGAAAGTCTTCATATTTTTTATGCCATATTTTTTATAGATGTTTGTTATTTCTTGGGTAAGTTCTTGGAGGCATGCTTTTTTTGTATTTCTATTGGAAATTAGTTTACTAATTATCTTGGTTTTTTTTTTAGGATACCTTCTCAAATAACAATTTCTAAATATTATTTGTAGTATAGAGCAATATTGATTATATACTTTATCAAAATGTTTTTTGTTTTATTATATTTATTAAATTTTGTAATAGTCTTTTTTATAACTTCAATGAAGAAATTACCTGTTATATGTCAGTATGTTTGACAGATAAATAAATATGTATTAGATTTTTTTTGTCCACATTTAATATATTTGTCATCTTTATATAGTTTAAGTGATCTATTGAAAAGTTTAGCTTTTATAAATAGATCTTAATTTTATAGTAATAATTTAAATCATCTCAATTGTTAATCAAATTAGCTGATGTGGTGATTGTTTATTTTGATTAACTATAAGTTATCTATAGTTGATAACCAATAAATTTTCTTGATAATAAAATTATCAAAGTGATTTATAGTGTGATTTAGAAGTCATTATTTTGTCAGGTCTATTGCTTTTGTGATATATTTAGTCATTGCCTTAATAGAAATATCCATTATTTAATAATCCTATTGTAAGATAAGGGTCAGTTATGGATTGGTTAAAGGACTACACTACTTAAAAAATATAAGAAGTCCACTAAGCTAATTTGAACTAAACAAAACTAAGTTTAAATTAGGTACTCTAAGTCAGATTTAAGGAACAATATTTTACTTTCTTAGTAGCTTAGCAATAGTGCCTCTAAGTCAATCAGGGTCATTACCAACAGTTTGTCACTGTTGATTATCCCAAAAAATGATAAATTGCTAAAGTTGGTACTGGAAAAAGGGAAAGAGAAAATAAAATTCAAAGCCCTCTAAAAGGTTTTTGCTCTATTTTACAGTTTCCTCTTGAAAGGGATTTGCCTGATTGGGATATTCTCTAAGCTTCATGATATTTGAGAAACTTAACCATTCCTTAAAGTGACTTCAAGAAAAATATTTGAGGAACTTATTTTTCTACCAATGTATGGATTCGCTTATCACTAATAAGATCAAAGCCATATTACGGAAGAGTTTACCTGACTAGGATAAAAAATCTTTTCAAGAACTTTGCCTGACCAGGATAGAAGCTTAGAGACTTCAGCTTTTATCCAAAAAAGTCTTTTCACTACCTGAGAAACTTAATGAAAAATGGAAGTTGGATTTTTTATTCTTACCCATCACTTGCCTTTCAGTATTATAATTGTTTTCTGAAAGTTGAATATATACGATTTGAGGTAACACTTTTTCTGGAACTTTCTTTTTTATATCACCAATGATGTATCGAGACATGTGAATATAACCAATAAGAGCTTGTTTATATTTCAAGAACTAATATG